CTCGCCGACAACCGGCTTTTCACTTCGGAACTCGAGGTCAAATAGTCACATGTTTACGCGATGTTCCGTCCCCTCTTACCCACGCATAGGCATGTGGTCCTAATCACCACGGGAACATCCTATTTTAACCCTTCCCTACAATTTTGGCCCTCAATAATACACATATCTAACCAGTACTTCATATCACCAGGTTAGCAGTACTTACTTACTGACTTACTGAAAGATACCACGGTTTTGTGTTGTACAACGTACATATAGGCTTGTATCTATGCCGAGCGACAAAGAAGAGAAGTGGAGCCAGAGTAGGTGGTCTTCATAGTAGGTGGTCCTGGGCCAGGAAAGACGGTTACGAGCTGAGCGCCATCTCTATGGCCAGAAAACTGCGGTTACCTCTGAGGCTTATGAGTGTAGTTCCCTTACATTCTAAAGAATGAAGAGAGCAACTTTTACTTTACTACATAAACTCAAGTTTTTACTTTGATGAACCACGAAAAACCATAAATGGAAGATGCCATTACTTTGAATAATGTGAACGGCAAGATTTGAAAACAATACGGAGCTAAGGGATTCACTAGAATGGAATTCAACAAGGAGACTAGGGGAAGCAAGTTATTGGAATAAAAATGGAAGATATACTAGATTCATAATTGCTCAATCAGTTATAAAATTATATTATTAATTTACTATAAAACAAGTTAAGCAAGAAAAGTTCACACAAATTCCTGGGAAGCAGTAAGTTGAACCTATTCCCTCAAACCCTTCAGTTCACATAGTGGAAGAGATGTGGTAGATCCTTGAACCTTTGAGAGCAAGCAGCTACGTAATTTACGAATTTTGTATGCAGGACAACACATCTGCTAGATGTAAACACGATTTGAAGGTACTACTGAGGGCACAATGTGTGGGTGAACCCTACCCATTTCCCATTGGTGCGCGGTCTCTCGAAAGGAGGAGCCCACCAATAAGAATTGGTGATTCCCTTGAAGATCCCGATCATCGATCATGGCCTATATTACCTTGGAATACTGCAGTAGCTCGAATAAATGAATTCTATGGCCCATCCATAACTGTATAAATAGATGGCCACACAAACATCTGTCCTCCCTGCCTCATGATTAACAAAAATACTTAATTATTTATTTGTTTATTCCATACACTAAGCTTTCTCACAGATTGTTCGCAATGCCATACAGCGTTCAATCACTATCTTCCCTCGCTACAATACTTACTAAAACCCAAGAAATGGATTCTATAATAAAGCCATATAATCAGGTTAAGGCCCAAATTACGTTAGAGGAGATTTCAATTCCAACGATTCAGTGAAAAAGTCAATCATAATGGTTAAGAAAGCCAGGAGAATTGTAACCAGGGTTTTGTTTACTACAGCTTACATATATAGTAAGTAAGGATAGTCAAAAAATATTTTGCAAAAACAGATGGAATGGTCTCTAACTAGATCTCATGGGGCATCAAATGAACATCAGGATGGCCGCGTGCCTGACAGTCAGGCTTCGTTGTCAAAGCTCTGACGCGTGAGTCACTTTGTATGCTTCGATTAGGCAGCATTCATGAGGCTATACTTGTTTGTTACTGGTAATCGCTCATAATAATCGATCATCAGCGACTAGTGATAAGTGTAAATTCAGATCGAGAAAACAAAGGAGTCAAAGATCAGTTGATTTGGGGAGAAAACTGCTGAAACTGGTGAAAAGTTAGAAAAAGGATGAAAAATAACCCAAAAATGATAAGATGTGATAGACTGTTGTTAAATATGATAAAGTGGCTGTAAGCGGAAAAAAGAAAGGTGCTTAGCAATATATAAGGTGTCTTCAAAAATAGGCAGAGTATATAGTAGTTCCCAGTGGCTCAAAGTATCCCGATGTTTGAGTTTTAGTCCATGAAATTGAATGATTTCGGTAGAACGGATCCATTGGACTCAATCTACACGGGTTTGGGATAAAAATAGAACAAGCCGTGAAGGGGGTAACGTGAGAAAGCGAGTTCGTTTGAGCGTCGTTCCTAGAAGAGCTTAAGTGAATTGTTTAGATAACGTTGTCGTCTCACATACATCCCTTCGTACATTCACAGACAAATCTTTGGACTTGAATGAATAAAAGACGTTGTTATAAAGCTCTCTTGGCTGTGGTGTCGGTCTGTTCAAACACGAATAAATGTGTGACGCGAAAACGTTGACGGTACTCGAAACCATTGCGACCGAGGGCCGCCGACCCGATCGGAACATAGGGATCATCCCCCCAGAGACGAGGATAAGATGATGGGATATGATGAGGTAGGTACAGGAGGGATACGTCATTTGGATGAGTATTGAGCCAGTCGAGCAAAATTTAAGGCGAGGTCCTTATTCGGGCATTTCTTCCAAGGGATAAAGATACAACATTCCCGTTAACCGAAACTCCTCCCGACTTTCTCAGCTCTGCCTGCTGCCCCGTGGACGCAAAGAAGTGCGAAATTAGGAGTTTTGCATGGAACGAAGCCAATTTCTCTACATTTCTAGAAAACGGTTATGATATTCCTCTAATTTGAAGAGTTTTTTCCAAGGAAAGGCCTCTATGAAGGTAATTCGGAGACTGCGCCGAGGAAAAGGGTTCATTTGCCAAGGTGAGAGGATGAAAGGTGGATTTAAGGGGAGATATCATGAAAATTCATGGGTCCTGCTTTCCAGACAAGCGCAGAGGAAACGAGAGAAGTTAAGGGGAGTTGAATTGTACTGGCAAGGGCGTTTTCCTGACAATGTTGTCCATGTTTGGCTCCGTTTGCTTATAGGCCCGGCAAGGTGCCATATTACAAGGTAAGGCACTGGAAAGAACGCACCAAGCTTGCATTTGGCGCGGGTTTTCTCCCATTTATGCATGTAGTTTGTAGGAACCGTACTCTGACCTAAAGTCATACTTTTGAGACAGCATTCTTTCGTCATTATATCCCATTCGGGTGACCCTCCTCTGGTTTAGTCCAGTTTAGTTGCAGTAGTGAGACCAACATCCACGAAAACCTTGGTGCATTCACTACAACAGCACCAGTATGACACCTATGACTGTGACGGAGACAGCAGTAGTAAGCCTAATGGCTGTAGGCCATATCGTCCCTTTATCAGTACATCGAAATTCTTCTGATGCCGACTAATCTGGGAAGAACTCCCCTAGTTCATCTGTTTCCCAGTTTGAGCCGACCCCCTCGTGCACACCCCTATTTAGTAGGTAATCCTACGTATCACGACGACCTTAATTGGGTTGTGTACTGGGAAAGATTCCTTCTTGAAAACAGGTTTGCAAGTCTACTGGGATTAGAGCTAAACACAACAATCTGCAAAGCTTTTTGTTTTCAGAGCCGATGTAACCGTCCATACATCGTGAGCATCAACGCTGCTTATTTTACTGGGTGTTAAAAAGTAAACATCTTATTTATTTCATTTGAAATTGACCTTCAGTAGTCCACAAGGCTTTTTATTAAGAAGGACAATGATAATGTATTCAATGAGGGAGGTCTAGAAGCTCAACAGAGTCGTTGAGAATTGGCGACTGAAAAAAAGTCAATACTTTTTGAAGAAACTATGAGACGGTAATGTTCGAGATTACGTGCCCCATTGCTATTTTCTGCTCCATGGCTACCCTTTCTTGCTGGACGAGTTAGAGTTTAGTCTTGCAGACACTCTATATTTGAACGTTTCCATCTGTAGCCGTCATCTCATCTTTTTATCGGGATGATCTCATTTTAGCGGATCTTCTGGTGCATGAAACCAATTTGGATGAGTACCAGATATCTAGTTCCAATGAGTTGCTGCAATCTGAGAGTATCGTCATACTGTACTGTACTATTTATTTATTATTTTTTAAAGGTTATACTATGCAGAATCCACTTTCAAGGTATTCAGGCTCTTGCCGAAACAGCTCCGTTTCCCTCTCTTCGACAAACGTCAGCCGTGGAATGTACATCTAGCAGGGGACTAGGGCTTCAGGGGGAATCAATAAAATATAAAATAAACTGTCGTAATTGAGACTGGGAGGCTTAATTTGGCTTTGCATACGAGTGGATTAAGAGTGATGAAGCTGTGAACCAAAAAGAAATTCTAATTAAAAATGCAGTTTCTTTGAACGCATAGATTTCCTGTTTCATCAAAATTCTCCTAAAATGTGTCATACACTACAATATTTTGTGAAAATATTTTTTTCTGCTTTTCACACAATAGAAAGTGCCCTGTGTGAGTTGGCCCAGACTGAGGGCAGTGTACTCTACTTGGATGGGGAAAAGGAGTAAAAGGAATATCGCAAGGGAAAGCGGACCGGTCGTATGCCCATTGTGCTTAGTGAAACTGAAACGGGAACTTCATTTGGATTGCTACGGTAGTCTTATCTGGAGAAACGATGAGAGGTCGCTAATCTCGAATGAATCTTCGGTTCAGGGCGAAAACAGAAGATTTTGGACGAGTTGTTCAGAAACTAGAAAAGTAATGGCGAGTCCAGATGAAAGAAACAGTGGAGTCCTTGGAATTGGCGTGACCGAGTAGTTAGGACGGTGTTCTCTGGGAGTTCAAAGGGTAGCAGATGAGAAAATGAAGTAGTTATAATAAAATAAAGACTGGAATTGTGGGTAATAGTCAGTCTTCGTTTGCAGTGATGACTTACCGTTCGGGTAGGGGCATAAGAGGGGCCTACGAAAGCATCTGATGGGATTTCTGTCTCAACCCAATGACCACTGGCTTGAAAAGTTGTAGCCACCCGTATACTTTTCAAGAACCGATTGTAACCAGATTAGCCCGTAAGGGTAAAATGTTTCGGGGGTGTCTAAGGTAAAGTTGTTTTGTCCTGAGAGCTGGCAATCTCCCTCTCTCTCTAAGAGGTAATTCAACGTAATTTGCATGTGACCAAGTTGAAAGTTCGTCGTCTTCAACATAATAGACCTCTAAACATGGGACGATAAACAAGAAGACGAGCAAATTATGTAGTCAGCTGAGAGGACACAAATAGGATAAACGTAGAGGTGAAATGGGAAAATCACTTACGCTACTTCCACTCCGATCCGATCTCGGTAGCTTCTCTTTCGTTGTAGGAACACAAAATGAAATGGATTTGGACTTGGGTATACAAGCTCCATTGCCTTCGACGACACCATCGTCGTTGCGTAAGCTGGACGTACTCGGCAGCACCAACGATTCGGCTTCCGACGGTGTACTTCTCATGTTCGGTGCTGAGAAGCCCCAACGAAATCGGTTCTGAAATTTTGATAATTTAAAAAGACAAAAAATCAAATAATCAAAAACTTAAAAAATAACAAAAAAAGATTCTTTGACGTCACGAATTCATAAGGATTAAAAAATGAATCGCAAAGTAATTAGCTTGCTTTATCGGAATAAGGATGACCATCAAGTAAAGGAGGAAGCCCCGGGGAACGCCTGAGGCCTGATTTTCCCAAAGATTATGTTATTTTACAGTCAGGAAGATACTATGGAAGTTAGTAAGGGTTCGTGCCAGTCCCTCCTCCAAAGCAAAATCAAATGGCGAGCCTATAGTACCCCAACAAGCTTGTCGTAAGAGCCTCAGAAAGGATGCAATCGAAGTTTCCGTTGCAGAATGGCCAAGAGGGCTGAAACGCTTTTCATCAGAATTTCCAAGTGGAATGCTCGACAAATGTGAGAAGAGAATAGCTTTGAAATTGCACTTTATAGACTATGAGCAAGCAAACATTCAATTGCAAACATAGAGATATGAGAATTACTCCTAGAACGGAGAATACCAAGAATTCGTAAGGAGTAGTTGCTGTAAGAGATGGAAAAGAAACACTTACTAGTAACTGAGAAACTCAGAGTTGAATGATGTTTGGTTAAGTAAGCCTTGAACATATTGGTCGAGGACTGATTCCTTACCCCCCAGGCCGGCCAAAAAACTCATCACATAAAGTGCCCCCACATTAAACAAATCATATGTTCACGGTTCATGGTTGTTTGGACCCACGTAACCCACCGCCCCCCTCGCAGCAGTTTTCTCGCTGCGCTTCGAGGAAAAGCGGAAGGATTATATTTCCCACCTGGGGAGGAGGAGTGAAGATCGGTGGAAGGAGGCGGACCACATTTACAGCGATATGTAGCATTATCAAGAGCAAGAGCCGCTCCCGTTGAAAACGGGGAATAGATATATGAAAAACTCTCGGGGGCTACGATGACAAAAATATGAGACTATTACTTTGATGCCGCCGGCGGCAAAAGACGAAGACGTCGCTGATAATTATAGCCATGACAGAAATAGGCTCGGCATCTAATTGGAATGACGTCTTCGATGCTGTTGCTGTTTTCAGCAACATCACAATGCTTTATGATTACTTTTAAAAGGAATGTAGTATTGACTCATACAGAGGTTAACAAAAAAGGTTCTTCGAGTACACCTCAGTTTCTTCAAGTTGCTACAAAGTACGCTCACATTACTTATGTAGTCTCGACTATCGCAACGGTGAGAACGGTTTTTCATGATTACTTCAAAGGATTTGTAGAATCGACTAGAGTGTAGTGTGAGAAAATCGTTTTCGTATATACTATGTAGTATTGACTAGAGTAAAGGGTCAAAATACCAAAATGTCTTCCGCATGTGGAGACGCTCGGACGTCACAGACACATAGTCTAGTATGACTCCTTCATAATACTTTTTTGAAGCCTCATTTTGCTTGAAATTCACCCGATTTTGGCGTTTCTTCGCCACTTTCGCTCAACTTCTAAAGTCCATAATTTCATTTACCATCCTTGATACCTGAGGGCGGAGGTGGTGTAGTGGCAAGTGGCGCACTATATCACACGCACGGTCAAGGGTTCGAATCCCGGATCGATGCCCGCCTAGGCCAACCAAGCCTTCCATCCCTCC